GAAGAAATGTACTGAGTAGGTCCTCCTTGACTATCAAGGGCTTCCATGACTTTTTCTGTTTAAATTGAGTGAAAGACCTTCTTTAAAACGATGAAAGTGAGACAGAGTGGCCTTTTGTGCTCTCGCGATACTTTAGTGAGCCTTGCTATCGTGCGAATGTGGTCCATTGTACTAAATCCTTTTCTAAGCCCTGCTTGCTCACATGGCTGTCCTTCGTCCAATGTTCCAATCCTGTTTAGGCTGACTTGAGTGAAAATTTTGTAGACGACACAGACAGTAAGCAGATTGGGCGACAGTTGCCGATATCGTGCAGGTCACTCTTCCTGAACAATAACACGGTCTTGCTGGTCTTCCACTGAGTAGGGACCTTGCGTTCAGACAGGTAGCGTGTGAAGAGCCAACTCGGTGTGTTTACGAGGGCTGGCGGCAGGTTCTTCAGGTGTTCTGGTCTTACCCTGTCCGCACCTGGTGCTGTTCGATGTTTCACCGACGAAATGGCATGTCGGATTTCAGAAAGGAGAACCGTTGGTATAACATATCCATCCTCTTTTATTTCATATGTCGGAAGGTGGACGTGACTATCGAAGAGATCTGAGTATTCGTGAATGATTTTCTCCATCAGCTTTTTGGACGCTGTAACTGTTCCTTTTTTGCTTTTGGCCGAATTGACTCGTAGAATACAATGCGCACAAGCGAGAACGCACCCACACACGCAAGCATGAATACGCCTAGCATATACAGAAAGTATGTGCCAAATCAGCGCAGCAGAAACATGGGGTCCATCCCCTGGGGTCACCTGCGTTTGAGGGAAGCAAGGGTCGCTTTTTGTCCGCGATTAACCCCCTACCCCCCAACTGTGAACGCAACGCGCTACGTAGCCTCGCGACTAAGCGGCTCGAGATCCTTCATATGAGGGAGATCCGTGGATCGATGACTAATATGATCTTAACATCATTGGTGCACAGCTCAATATGACGGCAACAGCGGAATTTGGTCGCTCGCTCATTATACGAAGAAACGAAGCCTACATCCTCTACGACCAGCATCCACATATGAAGACGAGACTATTTCTGCTATTACACTTCTTTATAACTTTACAATTGCCCGTAGCATCGTCATATTTTCTAGAGAAGTCACAAGTCTGAAAAGCGCCATTGCTGTGTCAATGAGAAGAGGGCCCATTTCCTGAATGTTCCCTTTTAACGTTCGCCTTCTGATAATTGTGGAACTGTTTATTAACCAAAGCATAGCGCCATGAAAGGCGATTTATTTTTTGTCGAGTTATTCACAATGGGACTTCTTTGGTAGGTGGAAAGGTCATCTAAGAGGAAACATCCGTAATTTGGATTAAACATACACTCGTGTAAGTCGCAAGAGAACAGGCATTCCAGCAGAAAGGTAAAATTAATTAATTTTAGCCCAGATATTTCAAGATTCGAACAACTCGACTGGTACTGAACACAGATTTTATACGAGACATGGACAGGTATGCTCAGGTATTCTTGCAAATAGACGTATCGGACGGTGAGATGAAATCGATGGATACAAAAAACACGAAAGAGATACAGAAGAGCACTTCAACAATTCCACGGAGGCATGCGGAAGGCTCATCGTTATTAGATAGTGGACGAATTCTTTCCCATCACACACAAGAGCGAGATCAGACATAAGAGGTGTCCAAGAACATGGGAGCGTACACAGACCACAGCGAATATGTAGAAGATAGGGAGACGCGGAAAAAACTTACGATGAAACAGATGAAGCAACGAAAAATTATTTAGTGGATCAACATACACAGAAGACGAAAAACAAATGGTATTTCATAATTGCTGGTTTTCAGTTTTTCTTTCTTTCCTTCTTCTTATTTCGCCAGAGCCAAATTTCAGTTCATACTGCTACATTTTCAGTACTTTAAGGTTTTCTACTCACCTTTAGGGTTTACCTTTGTTTTAATATGGCAAAATGGTTTCTGGATTTATTACACGAATAGAAGAATAATCGGGATTTACGGATTTAGAAGTGGGATTGCGAGCTCGAGACGAAAGCTGTGGAAGCGGTTGAGAATTGCGCCGTCGAACTTCCGCACGGCTCTGAGGCCCATGTTGCAGCAAGGTATCAAATTGCATTTCATACTACTTTAGAAAGAAACTTAAGCAAAATCATAAAGACTGCTTTAAAACTTACAATTCCAGCCGCGACTTCCCTGGTAAGACTATTAGTGCTAGCAACGTTACCATCACGAGGCAAGTACTGCTGTCATTGTGAAAGGGAAACCAGCATGAAGTGGTAAGTTTTCTAATTTCCAGAGTATTCCCACCAGCAAAGAGATTTTTCCTGAACGGATAGCACGGAACGATATGTCACACATGGGTTGCTCACTGAGTGTGGCAAAGATCGATAGAAATAGCTGAGAGACAGGCGAAACGAAAGACCCGCATGGTGTGGTGGCGAACGCGTTACTCCCCGGAAAGGACAATAACGCGTTCGTTCCCCACCCTAGACACCTGCGGTCCAGAGTTTTGCAAATATCTCAGCAACGTTAATGGTGTAGCAGTTTTAGCAATGACCCACAAAATTTTCCACCAATGTGATCACAGTTTTGCTTGCGACGAAGAACCATTCGTATGGGTTCGATTTCTTTAAAACAAACTACTTGTGTTTTTCACGCATATTTACAGTCAAATAACTATTGTATGCTGAAATGGGATTTCGACGCTTGTCATGATTGCACGTGGGTGTCTATAGAGCTATTTCCAGCTCATGCTACCCGTACTACTCGTAAATTATCACTATCATCAGCTGGATCACTCTAGGTAACCTTTGCCGGCACCACCATAGGAAGGAGCCGTCATTGAGGAGGAAGGAACGGAAAAATCGACGAACGATGAACCTCCAGTTGATCAGTCAAGGTCAGTGGAATGAATCACACTGTTAAGCCTTTATTTTCTAACATTGTCATTTCGATTGCAGCCTCAGTTTAACTGGGTTCAATGCAGATTTGTGCCTCGCAGATCAATTCTACTGACGGGTGATTGCTGATGGCAGCGTTAGGTAGAGAAGTAGTTGAGAGAAATGCAGAGCAAGGGCCTCCGTGGTGTTGTGTGTAATACGAGAGCCCCGGGAAGGGTAATTGTGGTTCGACCTGGCCGGAGGTTCAAGTTTTGCGAATATCTCAGCATCGTTGTGGCTGTATCTCACATTATACTCTGTCGTAAAAAATTATAGTAGCTAGAAAATAAAAGGGTAACATCGCAAATAACTATTGTGTAGTAAAGTAGCACTTTGACGTTCACACTGATTTCACACTGTCTAAGAAAGTTATTTCTTACCGGTGCTACTCGTATCGCTCATATTTCACCAAACTATGAGGCCTGACCGGTCTGGGGAGCCACTGCCCGCACCACCATCGAATGCAACTCGCAATGAGGCGAATGGGGCAGAAAAATCGGCGGACGAAGTACCTGCTATTCCTCAGCCAGGATCAGTGAATAGTAACCAAAATTTGATTTTTTGATGCATGATATCGAGTTCCATGAGCAGTCACCATGCATTCTTTTGCCTATCTATTGTGGAGTTAAAATCGAGGAAAGAGAAAGGTTGAACTAGTTTGAGATGAATATCACCGTCACGAAGATCCAGCTTCCCTTTAAATTCTAAAATAACTTTTATGGCGACGATTCTTAGAAAAGAATCGAAAGTGATCAATAAAATCTAGAGAATATCTTTGTTTTTCAGAGACTCGAACTCGGAAATCGCAGCATAAAATGTGGCAGTTTCGAACGACCACCACTTTCATTTCCTTCGCTGTGATGTACCTCCTAGTCTGAATGAAAGATCCATTTGTTTCTTATTTGGCATAAATGATTAAAATTACTTGACCAATTCATTTTGATGTTATTGGAAATCGCATCACGAACCAACCACAAGAGCCAGAGACAAAGCATCATTTAGCCCTTAAACAAGGTTTTTAAATAAATTTTCATTGTGGCTAGTATTTTGGTGCTATCGCATTCACACGACCCTCGAGGATTTCAGTCGAGTGTTCACAACAGGTGTTTCTTGAGGTTTGGTCGATGGAACTTCCTGCGCAATGCAAAATTACAAATTCGTATGAGCTCATCAAAAACCCAAAATACTGAATACGAGTGTAGATTAAACGATAGCCGGCACTGAAAACGACTAAAAGCGCTTTAGAAGCAGAAAGGCTTTATTAAATGAACTGTAAGCCACAATTAGCTATGCATAGCCCTCACGTGCACAACTCTCCCATTCACTTTTTTCTGCCGCTGAAGTCATTCCTGAAATTGGTTACTTTCCTGTGACCGACCGCAGCTTGAGAATTTCGTCCTCCTCGTTGACATGATGGCCCAAAAGTAGTTATTCGAGATAGATAACCTTGCTATGGAGTTTATATTTCATCACCAAAAACATTCGTCTGCACATGTGGATCCCTTGGACTTATGCAGACTTTCGACTAGGATTCTTTCAGAACGTTAGTCGTGCCTGTTGATGTAGTTGAACCCTGTGGTGATTTGAGAGCGCTGTATCCTAGCTAGGACATGAAGTACAGCATTTGCAAACTCATAGATTACAAAGGCAAGCTTGCAAATTCTAGAAGCAACGATACATTTCCATCTGCGATTCACAAGTCGACAAGTATGTGACATTGAAGGGAAACTTTGTAAAAGAACCACTCAAACCTTCCATTCGCTTACTAATTACTTCTGGGGAGTCTGCTGTTTGACTAATCGTTCGTTCAATCTTTATTGAAGTTGCACAAGGAACTACACTACAATGACCAATACACTCAATGTAAGTTTCCAGTAGAACCGGGCCGAAGGAAGAGGATGGGAAGGAGAGGGGGAGGAGGGAAGGGAGGAAGAGAGGAGGGGGAGGGGAAGGTTGGGGTGAACGTAGGTGGGGGATAGAGTGCTACTCAAAGAGAGTAGATTTAAAGATGTGACAGTAAATGACAATGAAAAGCGACATCGACAAAAGATTCAGAATCCGTGCACTTTGCAGTTCTCCTCCTTCACGATACCAACCTGAACTCATACGCACTAGATTAGAAGAAAGAAGGACGCGAATCTTCCAATAAAGGGAAGCCGAATGAGACTCACATTTACAAGGAAATCCTTGATTTGTTGCCTTTGGTCGCCACTTAGTTGCATTACCTCTCCGTATTCAGGATGCTCAACAATTGTACCGTTACAGCTGTACTTCTGAAAATAAAAAAACACAATGAAACCTTCTTAAACGACACAATGGACAAAAAATGTCTTTTGTTCAGTCATTTACAACAGTTTCTTCTCCTTTTTCTTGTCCAGTTCCTTTTTTCTTTGACAGAACCAACGCCATTTCGACTACAGCTTCAGCTTAACTAGGTTCATTGCTGATTTCTGCTTCACAGAACATTTCTGTTGACAGGCGACTGCTAATGGCACCGCGAGGGAGGTAACTGGCTGAGAGAAAAGCAGAACGAGGGTTTCAACGGTGCCACGCATAATATGTTAACCCCCTGAAAGGGTAATCACGGTTCCATCTGGACTGGGGACCAACTACTGCAAATATCCCAGCATCACTGCTTTTTTTCCTACCTTTCCCATTCTTCTTTTCGTGTTTTTTTCGTGAAAAAGCGATGTTCCTCAAGATGCAACAGCCGCAAAAAGGCACTTTTGAGAAATTTCATAAAAACTACTAATGTTAGTTTTACCATGTTAGTCAACCAACCAAATAAATAAACTTCGACAAAACCTTTGTTTATAATGTGCACAACACGATGGTGGCTACAAAATATATTCATAACAAAAGATCGTTACAACGCTGGATTTCCTGGAGTGTATCAGACTGTCGAAGAGAGGAGATGCGGTAAAGACCGAGTTAAATAGGAAATGGAATAAAGCTTTCGGCGTTGATCAGCCCCAAATGGATGCGCCACGGATTCGACCACATTAAGCATAGTTAGAAGTGACTGAATGCACATCTGGCCTATAAAATAACTCTCGGTGGCCTACCAATGTATCCGATCAGTGGTACTATCCTCCCAGAAAAGTCTGGTAGAAGTCTGTAAACATTGGAGGGATGGAAGACTTGGTGAGCATAGGAAGGAGCGCAGGATTGAACCAAGGTGTATTGCACGGCGTCTCTAACCCCACTGCGCTACACGCGCTCCTGCCACAGTTAAGTATGTAGCATTCCCATCCATTAATAGCTGGAACACCTCGATAGTATCCAAAGAAAAAAGCTCATCCAAAATTCATCTTACTTTCTCTTCATAGAGAACGTGTTACGTCTATAAGTGGAACATTCAAACCTTTAATACGGTGTGCTGCAACTTACGTCACCGCACTAATTCCCTTTCTCTAGTCATAATCAGGGCTATTTCCGAAAAAAGCCTACAGTAAAGAACACTACGTAGTTCTCTGAACCCAAGAATGTTATGCCAACGTTAGCAGATAACCAAATCCTTTAAAGGAAAAAGCAAAAGCGATAAAAAAGACGTCGCCTGAAGTCAAATTCAGGTAGTGCCGCGTTCGCCAACATCAATAATGTGGACCTATACCTCGAAAACTAAAAGGTATTTAACACATTTAATGATAAGGCAAAGTACAGGAGCAGGACGGTGATTGGAAGGCTTGAAAATGACATCTGAACACATCAAACAGTACCTAATGTACTTCACCACTCAGCATTCCACACCCAGCTATGGAATCGCGGAAGACAGAACAATGCAATATCAAAGTTTATTTAGAAAAAAATGTTATTCACAACCATTAGAAAACCAAATAGAACGGGAATCAAAAAAACGAACATTCACAAATCCACTCAAGACATACAAAGAATGACAATGTAGTGATCTTGTCTCTCAGAAACAAGAAAATCCGAATGGAACACACGATCGCAAACGGAGTAGTGAAGACGAATGAACGTGTTCACCATACGCAAGTACGTTTTCTCGTACATGACAATGTATGAATTCAAGAAGACTTCGTCTAGGTGTTGATCCAACCACATCTCTGGATCATCATGGAACTTATCAGATTCATCATTGCTCTCACCATTGCCTACGTTAGGAGTACAGTCAAGCATACGGATAACGGAAACATCGTTGTGGAAGTAGGAATGCCCAGGCATAGAATAACACGGCATAAGCGCCGCCATGGAAGCATTTCCCACCTTTCGAGCCATAGACAGCACCGAGTCAGCGGCATTGTAAGGGCCAATTTGATGACGAACGCCGAAATAAAGAGCTAACGCAGCGTTTGCCATCAACATAATAAAAAATATAACGCGTCGAAACATAACACGTCTTGACGTGAAGAATGAACCGGCATACAAACAAAGAAGAGGAATTACGGGTAGTAGAAACCTATGCTCTTTGTGTGGTAGGAAAGAATGGAAGGCAACATAGAAAGTTGCAGCTAGTAGTGGCAGTAAAGTTGGTCGGAATGGAATAAATACACCAATTACAATGGGAATCAACTGAATAGTAAGTACTGCTGTGAGGCCCTCAGTAATGTACCAATACCATGGATGGACTCCAAATTTAGCACTACCACCCTGTAAAACATTGAAAGAAAGAAAGTTCCACAATGTAGAAGTGGGACGAGCATAACATAATGAATCGACGACAGTCGATAACACCAAAACAGGAAGAGTCGCGGGCAACACCGTAAGGAAAAGGAGACGAAGTGGATTAGGATGACGCAAAAGATGAGAGAAACCAAGAACTATCCATAAAAGTGCTGCTGTCGGACGGATAGCAATGGTCATCATGCCTATGGACATATAGGGCCAGACCGTAGCATTGAGGTGCCTATTTCCGAATGGATACCAAAGCAGCGCAATCAGAGTGAGCACAGTTTCTAAACAGTTCGAAAGGGTTCGTGGTGCACAGTAAAAAACGAACCATGCTGAGATATAGGTGACGGCTGAATAGAAAGCACTGTTGGGCGACGGCAACAATGTGCGTGATAATTTGTAGAAGGAAATATCACCTAATGCGAATAGGAAAGCGTGTAAAACGCGAGGTGCATTGACAATAACAGTTTGAGAGTCTAATTTAAAATGTTGGATAACTTTGAACAAGACTGCAATGACTGCTGGATGAAATGGAGAGCGAAGTGCGTATGACCACTCCCAGGTAAGATGACCGGTGCCGAAAACAGCACGGTGAGCTACTTCGCATGACTGATACGTCTCATCAGGGACGAACCAGCTTTGAACGAGTAGCACTCCAAGAAGGCGGAATATGAGAAGTAGAAGCCAGATACGGAAGCAACGCATCGGGTTTTCACTGAAATTGACCGACGGTGAGGGCAAGGCGATTACCAAAAGAGATTGAAGTTTTCACATACAAACTTAGGTAAAGTGTAGGAGTTAGGGCTGACCCTCATTTTATACTCTTAAAGGAATGACTTACATTTAATAATAAGTACCACAGTTGACTGGCTTAATAAAAGCAAACCGAAAAACCATCGAAAATAAAGAGTAAAAATGCAGATGTAAGGAAAACTGGGGTCGAAGCTGCTACATTGTGGTAGAAAGCAAACTTGGAATGGGAAGTGTTCAGATACAAATTTGGTAAAAACCACTTTAAATCGCGCTATCTTCCAAATATTGACTACCTCATTGTGGTTAAGTTCATGGGTGTCGAGCTGCGATGTACAACGGGAGATTCATCCCCCAGCAGTGCTTCCCAAGCAGAGGAGTCTGGCGTTTCCACCAAGGAGCCCAGCTAAGAGTAAACCAATACCAGGATCCACCACCGTCCTGATATGAAACTAGTCGTATGGTGGCAAATCTCTCTCTGATCCACCAGCTGTAGTGCTGACGACCTGGAACAGCCTTTGGCCAGGTAGCCCTTGGCACTTCAAGGAACCACAATGGCTAAACGAGCAAAACTCTAAAAAAAAAGTGGAAATTGTGGTAGGGTTCGCACAACCAGTGAAGACGAGCTGTCTAAGTATCCAAGTAAGCATCCAATCTCGCTATCACCTCAAGAAGTTATCCTAGGCCAGAAGGAAACAAATCGGTTCCGGACTATTACCCCAACTTGAGCATATCTCCCAGGTAATAGCGCTTTTTTGCAATAAGAATTTAATCCTACTTAGTACTCAAAACTATGATGCTAAATTAACAAACTATCCTACACGTTGCTGGAAAACATAAAAAAAGCAAAAAACACCAAGGCCGACCTTCTTCAGGAACCTGACAATCCTCTTGAGGTCGTATTCGGTTCCCACACCTTGGACAGTAGTGATAGTTTTGCGACCAGTACGCTGTTGTATCCTGATATGGCAAAAACCTTGACGAGCACCGTGTTCGTCTTCGAGCTGCTCAAATGCGTCTATAATGCGAAATGAATTTTACTTTAAAGACAACCAAAGTAGAGAAAGACTTAATTGTTTCTGACATCAACTTTCATCATCTAAGCTTAAGAATCTAAAAGATCTACTAAACTAACCTTTTGGCTTATTCAAATTGGTGATACTCGCCATAAACAGCACCAATCCAGCAGCAAGTTTCTCCTAAAGAAAAGAAGTACAGAAAAAGTACTCTGGGAGAGCACCCGACCAGCAACAAGGAGGCCACTTGTCACACTAGCGCTATACGAATGGCAAGTTTTCCATGATAACGTTATCCATAACAAAAACAAAGCTCATAACCATTAGTGAGCAAACCAATGAGTGACAAGGAAAATGAAAAGAAGGAAAAAAAGAAAAGAGAAAAAACCGAACATGACCGTCCAGAAATAGTTAAAGATAGAAAACGCCAAGCAATCGATGAAAGGTGGGCTGTCATTATGCGCGGTGGTCCTAAGAAGAAAAGTTGTGAGGCTACAATAGTCCTAAAATCACGTTCTTAACATTTTCATTTCACTTGTCATACATGGAACCTCATTTATAAGTGTTCTTTATGTATTTAGTACAACTTAAAGCTTGTAGTTTACGTGTTGAAGTGTTTACCTGTGTATTCAGTACCTTCGTATTGCAGCAGTACTTGCTAAGCAGTTGTTTTTGGTGTTATTCGTTAAACTGCGTACTTTTTAACAGGCTTCTGCCTCCGTCTTGATGTTTTCATTAGTTTCTATTGAATGCGTACATTACTTTCAGCATTTCAGTGCTTGGAGACACGAAATGAGTCGCGTTCGTACGAAAACTGTGAAGAAGGCATCGCGTGTGATCATTGAAAAGTACTACACAAAGATCACTCATGATTTCCACACCAACAAACGGATTTGTGACGAGGTTGCTATCATTGGCAGTAAGCAGCTGAGGAACAAAATTGCTGGGTTCGTTTGATTTCTGTGATTAGTAAACTCGTCGTTTTCTCCCTCAGCAATCTCTCAGTTCTGTAACTAGTCATGGGGCACGTGTAGCGCAGTGGTCGGAGATGCTTTGCAATGCACATAGGATCGATCTCATCTCCGCGCTGTAGGTTCACTAAACTATCCACCACTCCAAGGTGGGCAAATTGGTGTCACACTTCTTCGGGAGGATGGCAGCGCTGGCTCAATACATGAATAGGCCAAAGCGAGTCGTTGAAAAGACCAGGTGTGAATTCAGTCACCTCCAACGATGGTTAGTGAAGTCGAATGCATGGCCCAACCCTTAGGGATTGATCAACGCCGAGACCTTTATTCTTTTTTAATGCATTGTCATCGTTGAGTTTTGGGTCCTATTCCTGTATATTTGCAGGCTATTCTTCTGTTTTTTAGGTATATAACCCACTTGATGAAGCGTATTGAGAAAGGCCCCGTTCGTGGTATATCCATTAAGCTTCAAGAAGAAGAACGTGAGCGGCGAGACAACTACATGCCTGAGATTTCTGTTGTTTCACCGTCCGTAATCGGACAGGTTAAGGTTGACCCCGTTACGAAGAGCATGTTGGAGGCAATGGTAAGTTCTCTGACTACTTTTATTTAACTTAGGAAGCCTACATTATGCTTTTTTAGCAAATTAAAATGTTTAGTTTTATCATTAGGAATCATGGTTTATGGTTGCTATTATTGTTTGTCATACATAATCTGAAACTGCAACTATCGATTGTTATTGATTATTGCAGTCATTGTCGATCATTGCGAAGCCACCTCAAGCCTTTTCGGTTCAGCATTCGCTACTTTAGCAGGTCTTGCACTGCTAAGTCCTACTTTCTCTCGTTTGTGGTGTTCACATTGATCGTTAGTGGTAAAAGGAACCATTGTTCTGTCCTGAAATCAAAGTGCAACTAGATGACAGCTATGTTCTACACCTCAAAATTGTCGGTATGCAAGGAATAGGAACCGTCTATGTTTAAATGGGTTTTTTGGTTCTTTTGGCGTTGTGTCCATGAAGCAGCGTTGTCCCACGTAATACGCCTTTGTTACTGTTATAGTTTAACTATTATTTTATAGCGGATCCTGCTGCTGACCTTTAATTTGCGCAGGTCGATTGTCCTCCATCTCTGTTACTTGTGGAAGTGATCAGTGTTAATTCCCTTCTAAGTCAACGAACAACAAGAAAAAAGGAAAATTTCTGACGTAAAAGACCTTATTTTGCAAGTGCACTTACTATAGCGGGTCATATCGTCTAGCTTCTCTTTTAGGTTTCTTATGCTTCCAACAGTGACCACATATATTATGTGTATGCATGTATATACATAGTACTTGATAGTTGAATGGCCCATCCTCACTGGTTGTGCGGACCCCAGCATAGTCTTCACTTTTAGGAGATTTGCTAGTTAAGCCATTGTGGTTCTGTGGAATACCGAGATCAGCTTGGCCAAAGTCTGCCCCAGGTCTTCGAAAACACAGGTAGTCGCAGCCCTTGTGGATCAGAGGGAGGTTTACCACCATGCGACTTTGATACCAGAACGGTGGTGGATCCTGGTATTGGTTTACTCTTAGCTAGGCTTCCTGATGGAAACGCCAGACTCAGCTTGGGAGACCCTTCCAAGGGATGAATCCTCCCTTGTACATCGCAGTTCGACACCCAGGAACACCTTCCAGCTACAATGAGGGTAAACCGTTGGGAGGTTACATGTGTAATATTATATATATATGTATGTACATATATATAACATGTGCGTACACTCATGTATATGTGCATATATATGTTTATATGCATATTACATACATACCCATACATGTTTGAATGGGTGCGTGAAGCACAGTGGTCGGAGGCGCCCTACTACAATACACATGGGATCGATCCTTGCGCCCTAGGCTCACCAAGCCCTTCATCCCTCCGAGGTCGGTAAATTGGCACCAGACTTGTCTGGGAAGATACCAACACTGGCTCGATACATCGATATACTACCGTGAGTCATTGTGAAGGCCAGATATGCATTCAATCACTTCAAACAATACTTAATGATCTAGGATGCATGGTGCTTCCCGCTGGGATCGATCACCACCGACAGCTTTATCCTTTTATTTTATCCCTATATATATATATATATATATATATATATATATATATATATATTTGCCGTTAAGTTTAAGAAAGCAGGCATCGTGTTTTTCTCNGAGAAAAACACGATGCCTGCTTTCTTAAACTTAACGGCAAATATATACATCCATATATATATATATATATATATATATATATATGGATGTATATATTTGCCGTTAAGTTTAAGAAAGCAGGCATCGTGTTTTTCTCCACGCTATTGGTTTTTTCTTTTTGTCTCTTTTTAAAGAGATAGTAGTGCACTACATTTTAGTGGTAATGAGCCGTTGATGCTATTACGTGGAACATGTGAGTGTTTATCACTTAGTTGTTACTTTGTTGTCGTTCGCCACAACACTCCTCCTTTTTGTCCTATTGTTGGAAAAAATTGAAAAAGCTTACATCTACCACTTTTTCGCAAAATAACCCTGTTTTCCATTCTGTGACGTAATTGATTCGGTTTTTTTTGATCGCCTAGTGCATACCAAAACGTTGAATCAGCTTCCACATACTGATCATGAAACAAAGGGCATCATAAACGTGCATTCTTATTATGGTTGGTTTTCAAAAATATTGACCGGTTGCGAACAGAAAATCTGATGTCGTGATTACTATGATGTGCACTGACATACCTCAAGCAAAGTTTTGCTAAGCAAACTGGAAGCCGTCTGCACTAAAATAAAAGTTTATTCGTTTTGATAGCATGGCATTCTGGAGTTGAAACAACGGCAATCTACTGAAGTAGGAAAGCTGTTGAACATTGTCCCAGCTAGTACTTTCGTGATGCTTGGAAAAGGTATCAGTTGGTTAGCAGAGGGCAAGAGTTTTATAGCTTGATTCGTGTATCTTTTCCACCGTTTTTTGTGCGAAATATGGTAGGACGTTGTCACGCAAAAAAGTCGGACTTTTGTACTGGTTTCCTAACGTATGCACCCCGATTTCTTTAGGATTTCGTCGATTTCATGCCCTTACTTCTCCGGTGATCGATTCGCCATAACCATCTTTTGATGCAAATTAGGCTTTCGAATCTGCTTCGGAGCTCATCATTTTCCACTAGTGCTGTGAACGTTGTGGGTTGTAGAGGTGATCCATTTTTCATCATGCTTCACTAGAGATGGATCGTTTCTCTTGTGCAAAAGAAACTCAGAATACCATTCTTGATGACGATATCGGTGGTATTCGTTTAATTCATGCGACACTCATTTAACGAGCTTTCTCATGGCTTTATTTCTTTTCGAAACGACAAACGGTTGTCGAATAGTGGTCGCTGAGTTTTTTTTACATCCTTAAACACTTCCCCACTTCTCCACTTCTTCCAGTTGTTTTTTAGGGGACAGCTTTGATCATCGATCTTCGTGGTCCGTCTTTAACTGATGATGGACGTCCAACAGTATGCGATGACCTATATCTCCAGTGTGAAACCTTGCCGACCATTTGCGTAGTTTGAACCCATGGAACAAAATGATGTGATATTCGTGATTTGGGGACATTGGTTGAACCTCCCTAAGATTGTTTTTAGGTCACATTTCAAAAAAAAGTATTTAGTTACAAATAAGGTTTGAAATAGTATATATCAGCAATGCATGAAGTAAATAATTTTAGTGGAATTCATTTACATGTCTTATAACAAAACGGCGCACATGGCCCAGTGGTCGGAGGCGCCCTGCATAATAAACATAGGATCGATTCCGGCGCTCGTGGCACGCCAAGCTTTCCATCCTTCCAGGGTCGGCATATTGGTACCACACTTGTCTGGAAGGATAGCAGCACTGGCTCGATACATTGGTTAGCTAATGCGAGTCACTGTTAGGGCTAGGTATGAATTCAATCACCTCCATCGATGCTTAATGAAGTCGAATGCATGGTGCATCCCTCAAGGATTGATCAACGCCGAGGACTTTATCCTTTTTATTTGCTATCTTATAATAACGTGAATGACCATTATTTATGGACAGACATATATTTTCCGTTTTTCTTTCACAGTCGTTATAAACTGCTAGTGAACACAACTCCAGAGTTAAATAAATTGAGGCCGATGTCTTTTTCTTATTATTTATTTTGGCTCAAATATCTTCTTCTCCTCTTCACTTCTTCATGTGCACATCCTATGCATCTTATTTCTTTGATGTTAAAATTAGTGGATAGTCTCCCATGGAGTGCATTCGGTGAAAATGCAGTTGTTCTTCTTACACGTAAGAGGTGGATAGCTTTTAATTTTTGTGCATTCTCACTTGGAGCTGTGTCAATTTCGAATTGGAAATTGGAATTCAGATTCAAATTCAAATGTAAATCAAAGTGGAGGAGTGGATACGACAGAAAAATTTTGAAGAAACAAGAGACTTTGTGAGTATAACATTGTGGATAGTCAATCACAATGATGCTCAGCATATTTGTAAAAGTCCAGACCGCTGGTGTCTGCGGTGGAGATTGAAGACTATCATCCTTTCCGGGTACCAACGCGTTCACCACCACATCATGCGGGTCCTTCGTTTTGCTTTTCTCTCAGCTGCTTTTCTGTCTACTAGTGCCAACAGCAATCACCCACCAACAGGATTGATCTGGATACTGTGGAAAGTATTCTTTTTTTGATGAGCTTACACTAGGTTGATAATGATATTTATTTTCGGCTAATGTTTTGACGTCTTCGTTTTCCTCAGAGCCGATGATCCGAGTCGATGATCCACGCTTGTTATTCGTCTCGACGTGGCAGCTTCGCCTTCGTGTCGAGTCAGGTCTTCTTCGTCTTCTTCAGTCAGTCCGTGCTAGCTGATAATAACACCGACTTCTGCAAGTTTGATTGTCCAGGAAAAACAAGTTACTATCACACTATCACCGGACAATGACAGCTATCGACCATCAGCAACCTGCATAAAAGGGCATCACCGAGTGAGGATGTCTCATTCGAGGAGATGGCTCACTGAGGTAGACCTGACTCAACACGAAGACGAAGCTGCCACGTTTAGACGGATAACAAGCGTGGACCATCGACTCGGATCATCGGCCCTGAAGAAGACGAAGACGTCGAAACGTTAGCCGAAAATAAATATCATTATCAATCTCGCCTAAGCTCATCAAAGAAAGAATACATATCGATTAGTGATACCGAGGTTCAAGGAAAGTCGGATTCGAAATACTGTGGATAGTAACTGCCACGACCGACTTTCTATTAACCTCGGCATTGATCAAGTGATTTTCTTCGTATTTTTGTTGAGCAAACGCGAGGTGTTACTATTCTTTGTTCATGATTAAGCTGACGTTTCGGCGGATTTCGTCTTCTTCAGAGTCTGGAAAGGTCAACTTGATAGCAATCCACTCGGCCAGACGCCTCCATAACCAAACAAAGAAACTCCAAACCAAGATTTCAATCACTTTGAACACAGCTTTGCACACTCACCGCTTTAAGGGTGAGCTCCATAAGAAAATCACTGTGGATCACTGGTATTGTCCCTTAAATTGAGTGAGCCAACTGTTTGAATCAATTTCTATGGATTTTATTATAAGTTGAGCGTATTGAAGTTGTTTCATATACCATTTGATCTCTGAATGGTTTTAAAATAGCAATCAAACGTAGTTACTAATGTAGTCACTTTTTATTTATTGTCTATACTTTTTCATGGCAGTTTATGGTGTGAATTATAACAACAGCGATGCTGATATATTTCTAGAACTCTGGATCACAGGTCAGCTTCTGTTTAATGGGGTTCAATGCCGATTTGTGCTCATCAGTTCAATACCGTTCGCGAGTGATTGCTGATAGCAACTATAGGTCAAAACATGGCTGAGAGAAAGGGAAAAAGAAGGACCTGCATGGTATGAAGGTGAACGCGTTAGCCCCCTGAAAAGTTAATAAAGAGTTCGTTCCCCACCACAAAGAACTGCGATCCAGAATTTTGCAAATACCTCATCATCACTCTAGTCACTAGAATTTCTAACAGCTGCTGGGTAAAAGCGTAGAGTTTCATACGAGCTTGTAGAAAAGAGCGACAACTGATGTTCTTCCAGTTTTATACGTATGTAACAAGCGTCGCACTTTCTTGCTCTTTTTCTGCACTCTTTGGTTACACAACTTCCTTAGCGCTATAGGTTTTTGGTTCATTGTTTCCTAATGTGAACTTATCAATTAATTATTGTTACTTCTTTCTATTCGTTTTTTTGCATCCATCATCCACTTAGATCTTCCAAGTTTTACGTGTGCTTTGGTTGCTGCTTGAGGATTTTCATTTCATCTTGGATGTCGTAGAGTGCTGGTCGGGTCGATTCTCTCTAGAGTCCTGAGTTGGCCAAGCCGGAGCACCCCAAATTGAATTACAGAGAGCGATTTTTTTCCCGGACAAGTTCGCTACCAATTTCCCGACCCCGGAAGGAGGAGAGGCTTGGTTGACCCGCAGCGGAATCGAGCTGCAACCATGCTCGTGATGACAGGCATCGCTACCATTGACCTATCCACTTTTTTTTTATAAAATATCGCATCCGAGTTCTGACCATTCGCTAAGGAAAATGTCACCTTCATATGCTGCGATAGGGCTACTATTTCCACATCGGTGTTTATTTTCTGAACAACACGAGCATTAGAGTAGCAGATAATTTTATTGTTTCATAGAAGACTCATTCTAATGGCACATATATTTCCTGAAGAGTTTAATATTTCTCGGAGAAATAGAAAAACAGATTCGAGTTCTTAAGTTGCTAACGCAAGTAGGTTGGACGCGAACATAACGGTGCATTCTGATCGAAATCCCACTTGCTAAATCGTTTCTTTTTCTGGAATGTATCGACAGCCTCTAAAGAAGACCGATGGGAAAACAGGTTGCAAACTTCGGAAATTATGTGATATTTCAAGATTTTGAATAGTTACATATTATTTACTGTAGTTCATGGATCCTAATAGCTTTTTTTCCTATTAATAAAGCTCAATATTAGTTATGTTTACTTGAATATTTGAAGTGGAAAGCTGCTCTTGGTTTGATAAGGACGATGAAATAAAAATAAAAGGATAGAGCTTTCGGCGTTGATCAATCCCTGAGGGATGCGCCATGAATTCGACTTCATTAAGCATCGTTTGGAGGTGACTGAATGCATATCTGGCCTTCACAATGACTTGCGGTGGTCTACCAGTGTATCGGGCCAGTGCTTCTATCCATCCAGACAAGTCTGGTCCCAATTTGGCGACCCCAGAGAGTCGGAAGGTTCGATGAGTCATGTGTGTGGGGACTGGTCCCATGTGTGTGTTGCAGGGTACCTCTGCCACTGCAGCACACACATAACATTATGGGTTTTATATTCTTACTGTTAGAGATTCTCAAGACTCAATCAGTATCTTGAATAACAGTTCAATGAACTGGACACAGTATAGTGTGCTTAATAATGGCTTTATTTTTTTTGTGTTAATGAACAAATATACATGTATGCATATACGTATATGTACATATATACGTACATATATGAATATATATATATATATATATATATTGTTGTCTATGATCTTTTTAAGTTTTCAGCGTGATATCCAGTTTTGAAGGGTATCATCTAAAAAAATCGTTGAGTGTGCAGTCGTTTCAAGGTGTTCTATTTCAGGACTGCAATCTGCCTAATATCATTGTTGATGAGCAGAAGGGTATGAAGAAGTATTAGCGGATCAGAAGCGACCGATGTTCACACTCGTTGTGCAGTTTTTCCTCTAATTATGATTGTTACACTTACGTTGTGTCGTTGTGGATATCATCTGGCAGTTGTTTCCCGTAAAGTCGAATAAATTGATGGATAAATGGTGCTAGTGCTAGTGTGTGTGTGTGTGTGTGTGCGTGTGTGTGTGTGTGTGTGTGTGCATAGTGCAGCCGGGGTTATTCGCGGCCGTGTTTTATGGCGGATGGCGGTGCTGCCACTGTCTCTCCCACTGATTGTCTCTGCCATCACCTTCGATCTCATATTCAGCGAACTCAAAGGATCGCCACTGGTTCTTCTGTCACCGTCACGTAACATCACCTTCTACGTATCCGGTCGTAGCCTTCTAGCCGACTCGGTGGCCATCGCCGAGGTGGACGTCGGAGAGAAACTCTCAGTCTCTGTGAAGTGCCTATCCGAGACCTCTGTACATTTTTCAACTGCTGGTCTTAATTCACTGCTATATTCACCATCGCTATGCTCGTCAGCGAATGGTGAGTGAGTGGAATAGTCAAAATCGATCTATGGGCTTCTGAAATGCAACATTCATCCTGGAATTTGTTGTTGATGAGGCTTAAAGTCATATGAAACAGCGCGAATGAAAATCGTAGCCCGTTTCTTAATAATGGGCTAAATACATATTAGCCAGTTGAAGTGGTGTTTAAGGCGTTCTTCCAGTTTTTGTCTAATCAAAGAAAGGTGGATAAAGAGCACTTTATTCAATCATATATTGTGGAGGAATGTAGTATCAATATTCCAAATTTCTTCAACATGGCAATTCACACAACACCAAGAGGAGATTGACTATGGTCTGCTGTATGTTCTTTTACGAGTACTGAACTCAAGTACTTTTTGTCGGATAACCAACTGGAGTCGACAAATCAAGCTCGTGGTGGCATAGGTTATCTCGCCATAACTAAATGAAGTCTGAACTGTATACTATGACTAGTCGTATTTCTTAAGCATTTCGCAGTGTCGCGGTGACAATATTGCCATCGGGAATGGTGACCATCTCGACGAGGGAGTATAGAAAGTTGGAGGACTACACTTAGTATTGAGATTATAGAAGAGAACGGAAAAACGGGATGGCAGCATTTATTCTGATTGTCGTCAGTTCGGATTCCCAAGGGAACGCTTGGTGTTTAGAATCGAATGAAGTTGAAGTTAATCCCTTGTTGATCGGAAATAAACAGTGGGACGAGCAAATATCGAAGTGATGCCGATTAAAAATGATTTTAATCTTTATAAGGCAACACGTCGTGACCATTCATGTTGTTCCTCACCTTTAAGAACATAAAAACTATCTGCTATATAGAGAACAGTTTTTTTCATCGAACTATATTTATTGTTTCCTAGGTGTGTTTATCGACGAGTCTTCATTACACGGCTGTATTAGCAATTTGTATCAAGGCTCAAATTTACTGCTAACAAAGCTTTGCGGGTGAGTTCGTTTCGAGATTGACGCCATTTCTTTGGTTCATATGATTTACTACTGTTTCTACTATGACGTCATAGATGAGTTTTTACGAGATTTTTGAATTATTTATCAAATAATTTGATACCAACGTTCCAGTTTGTCTCATAGTAGTCAAAATCCAGAGAAACAAATACTTCTATCTTTTTACAGAAAGTTATGTACAAGTACTCGTTAAATACGGTATCCTGCTACAGTATCCTGTCATCGAATATTCGACATTCGAAAATGTTTGAGCTTTCAGTATTTAGTAGTTGAATTCGCAACAGCTCAACTTTTTAACTTTTCCTTTCAAAACATCTACTGAGTGGAATGAATGGTTCACTTCCGAAAATTATCGACTTCAATATGAACTGAATCCGTTTTCCAACATTTTCTAAACAATCTCTATTCACGGTTTTCTGGAGTTGGGCATTGCCATTCATCTTTTTATCTCTGCTCTTATTTATTCAAATTTATATATGCTCTATTGTGGGTGTGTTCGAAAGGATTTCTCTACATATATCCATTTTATCGTTTGAATATTATTCATTTATTGTTTACTTGGCAATTCGTTTCCTATTCTCATAAATCAATTATTGTCTATAAGCTGACCGCCGTCGGCTCATTGTGACTGAAAAGTGTAACAGAGGGCGACGCTGTCGATACAATGTGGAATACGAGACACCACACGAAATGCTATAAGATCCCAGACTCGGACTCGATCCAATCTCGAAAAGACTTCAGTCTCTTCGAAGACAAAAGAATAAGAAGCACCATAACTGAGCTATCACATAGAATAGAATTGAGCAGGACGTAATCCGATATTTCAGATATTGAACTATAGGCGCGTGGATTCCTGGGATATCTAGGCTGGTGGCGTTTCATTGATCCTGAGTACTGGAACTGAGGAATATTCATGTTATCAGAGTAGTGTCTGAATGGAATCCATCTTTCCGTTTCTGTCCTTCTTTCCCTCTCTAGATTTAAACTAGTTAAGTATTATTGATAACGCTGAAGAGCCAAGAGGTTCCGCATGTGCGATTGAGCTTGTACATCCCATAGTTTCAAAGTCGAAAGATGGAGGAAATGTTGTCGAAGAGCTTTCAGTGTTTAGTGGAAACTTTATCTCATCACAGTCATCACAGGGCTGCTTGCTTCCATCAGTTAAGCTTTGTCTCTACTTTTAATAAAACTGTCTAAGTATTGAATAGCACAATGGTATTTCTCAGCTCTCACAGCCATCATTGAGGTATTACAGCTTTTTCTAGTGGTGAATAATGTGTTCTCATGTTCAGCCACAATACTTTAAAACATGTGTTTTTCCCATCCACTAGACCGCTCAAGCTTGACGCTGAAATTCTTTGTCGGAATGGCTAAGTGGGAAATATACTACGCATAGTTGTGGAACATTGGTGAGTGAGATTGTTCATACGAAACCTAACATGAGTACGGATAACATCCAACCATGACTGAAAAGTTTTTAGTTCGGACATATGGAGTCCGCTAGTTTAAACCATGTGGTTTTGTCTTAAAAACTTTTCTTAGCACTGACTTCAAGGTTTTTCCCTAAGATGAAAATGAAAAATCACGTTACGGGCTAAATGAGAACTCCTGTTTAATGCAATATTTAGTTGGGAAAAGTTATCCCTTCTATGTTTTCTAAGGGTATGAACTTCATCATGACCATCACAGTCATGAATTTCGATAATAATGTTTCTAAAATACAGAGATGCCGTGATTCGTCATTTACATGAAAAAGATAGGCAGTGTATCCACTAGGGTCTTTCCTTCTAATGCTCCAAACTTATGGAAAGTTTTTATAGTAACCTTTCCTACTGCCCTCAGTTTCATTAATCTTCAGCAAAAATGATATTGGCAAAATGAGTCTCTCCCGCTCCTCTTTGTTTTAGTATTGTTGTACAGAAACTTTACTACTACTGCCTGCATTGTGACTATTTCGTGAAAGAATGCAATATGAGGATCCTGACCATTGCCCGGATGGATCTCAATGGTGCAAAGTAGTAGTTTTCCAACGACTTTCGCCCGTCAACATCAAACGGACGAAAGTTTCTTGCCGGCTAGTCAATTTCCACAGTCGCCTCTGTAGCAGAGCTCATTCTGATGTACGGATGGTCTGTTCGACTTGTCAAAATGGCCGTGATCAATCATCGTCGGATGTACGCAATATGCCGTCCGTCCAGCAATGCTTTGATCGAGCACCGTTCACATAGCGCAGTGCACTGATCCATCTTCAGTTTAAATCTCGAGCTCGTATGGAGTGATCTCAAAGCATCTAGCCAGTGCCTGTGCTCACATCTTTCCAGTCTGTCGAATAAACAGATCTGTGCCAAGGAACTGTTTTCATTCTTCGAAAAAGAACACAAAATCACTCGTTCTCGTAATCTACACAATAATCTCTGAGGAAACTGTTTTCATTGGGAATACTCACATATTGAACATCTTCACATTAAATGTATTAGTGCGTTGTATTGAACAGTTTGGTATACCACTAGGGTTATTAAGAGTGGACTCCACTCTCCAGTGAGCTACGCTGGATGTTCATATCGAAGTGTGTTGGCAGCCCATTTTAAACTATCAAGATTTAAAGGTTTCAGTTTACAGCTTTGGTTTAGTAAGCAGATGAAGCATTCTTCTTTCCCATGTCTTTCAGTTATGACACCAGCTGAAGTCTGTCAAGATCAATGAAGAACTTTAGCTGTGGTGGTTTAAATCCGATGAATAAGCGATAGGAGGACCAGTATCGGTGAAGAAGTCTCTCTATCCATCATTGAAGAAAGTAATTTTCCCAGGGAACTATGAAAAAATTTTCCAAATACTTCAAGACGTTATAGACTTCAAGCTTTACACTCTTCAGACACCCCGGGATTTCAGTAATTTGACCATTTTACACTTTAAAACTCCTACAGTAGCTGTTATTTTTCAATAACCCATTGAGGTTTCTTTTTACGGATTCAATACTAATAGTTGCTTTTTCCTAAAGTGTCATCAGTAATAGATACTGTGTTGAATACCATGTCAATAGTAGTTCTGTGAAAAGACGCTTTGTCACCCAGGTGGTATTTTATGTAACTGCGAGAGTTTTTATAGTCAACGCAGTGCCAGATTTCGTACTCGGCACTTCTGAAGCACCTGTAGCTCATTATCGTATCACACTGAATCGGTTTAATGGTGATTTTGTGGTCGACGACGTGTGCGGCCTGATGGTCGACTAGACGGCCACTAAAATCACTCGCTAGCTGTGAACGAACCGATTACCACCGTTTACAAATTATAGCTCTTAGGTGGTGTAAGAGTATAAAGTCGGAAACATGTAGAACAGCATAAAATACATCTGCTTTAGCAAGAGAGAGACTAAAGCCATTACTAACGCACGAATTAAAAGTAGAACTTGGGAGAATGAAAAAAAAAATACGGAACGAGAATCGATAGAGTGGTGGAAAATGCCTAGAGGCATTAGGAAATTCTTCTGGATTCCATCAAATGTGCCTTTATCTTCATAACATTCAAGAACATAACTGTCTTTTGTTATCGTACGAGCTCCTGAGCTTTTGCTGAATTATTTCTTATTATTTGACACCATTTATATTTGTTCGCTAAACTTTGATCACTTACTTGATAGTTGAACGCCCCGTCCTCACTGGTCCGTCCTCACTGGTTGTGTGGGCCCCAGCATAACACAGTCTATATTTTTATACTCATCTACTCTAGTGTTTGCATAGTATTTTAATCACCACTGATGCCGCTAATAATAGTTTTTCATAAAAATCGCAGAAAGTGATTCAGTGGTTACTTCAGACCCTTTAACTAGAACCTAATGCTTCAGGGTTACATTTCATAACATATGGGGTTCGATTACCTTCATAACCAAAGGTTAAACAACCTACATCAAGTAGGCTCTTGATGAATCCTACTTTTAACCTCACCCAATCGTTGCTCTGCAAGTTATTGTTCAAGTTCAAGACATTTTCCTCGGATTAGATTCAGACTAATGAAGATTTATATTAATGATGCGTGATAGCGGAATA